TCCAAGTCGACTAATCGTAGCATGCGAGATATCTGTTCGACCTTCGGGGTCATTACTACAGCCTGTCCTTCTGCATAGTCATTCTCGTATGCCTTTAGCGCAGCTTCAATGGTTTTCCTTCTTGCCAAGTCCCCAGTAGATATCCACGCCATCATTAAACACATGGGCACGAAGCTTGCCGCCAGCGGCCTGTATATCATCGCAGAACCCGCAATTTCAAGTATCTCGTCAATGTATATAGACGGGTCTACCACAACAGCGTTGCCCGGGTCGATTCCAGTAACCACACAACTGAGAATGATGACGACGGGAAGACTGAGGCCGAAGGAGCGCTGGTAGAACGAGTGGGCCATAACAATAGGGTCCTTGAACGAAAACTCGCCCTTTGGGGGAAGACCGGCCTTCTTGTACTTTTCTCGTAACTCGTCTGCCGCCCCTTTTGCCATGTGGTATGCTGCCAATGCATCTATTAGCAGATTCTCGTCTGTCACTCCGTCTTTGCGGGCCTTTCTGGCCCGGTTCAGGAGGCCTGGCACTTTGGCAACGCCACGCATCATCCTGCCTTCGGGAGTTACTCCGTCAAGATGGTTTTCCACAAGGGTTTTCCATTCTTCGGGAGTAAACTGGATCTTTTGGTTGAGAAGTCCCTCAAAGACCTGTCAGAGAGGAGTAAGCATAGCTGTACGTGCGAGGAAAAAAAAAAAGGCTACAAACGGGGTCATACCACCGGCCCTCGCAGTGAGAGGATTAGTTTGCTTTCGAACTCGTCGTTTGGATCATAGTATCTTCTAGCCCTTAACAACTGGGCGGCTCCTTCGCAGTGGCCCGTAAAGTCACCCTCAGTGATACCGATAAACCGCTGCATAGACAATGTCAGGAGATTGTAGAACAATAAATTTAGTACATAGATCAGTGATCCGGCATCTCACCTGGCACATCAGCAAGACCATGACCGAGCAGAGAGTCTCAGACGTTCGCGCCTTGACTGGGTCGTTGAGGTACGATCTGAGCATCCTGAGAGCTCTGGAGTATCCTACCAGCACTCGCGAAGTAACTCCCAGCCCGGCGCAGAAGTCCTGATGCGAGTCAACCAGCACCTGCACCGCCGAGTCCAGGGCTTCATTGACCCCCAGACGCCGTGGAATGTCCACCAGAAAGCCGCCAAAGGACCAGGCGAGGTTGTATCTCAAGTCGGTCGTCGGCTTCATCGTCTCGATAAAGCTGTTCCGCAGCGCTGTTATCCCGTTAACAGGCACCCGGGGGATCTCTTCGACAAAGACGAGGGTCTCGAAATTCGGTAACTGGCCGACGGCGGGCTTCTTCCTGGTCGCCAGGCTCTTCGACTGGCTCTGCTGGCTCTGCTGGCTGCTGCGAAAGACATTCTCCTGCTTGAACTTGTATCTCTGCAGGCCCGCGCCGATACACGGGATATTCAGCCGAGTACATCGTGCACACGAAGGCCGTCCTTGATCACACTATACAGTCCTCTCTGCATTAGCCAGTCTGTTGTTTGTTTGTTTGTTGCCGTTCATAGTTACTCAAGTGGCTGCAGCACCTTTTTCTTCTGCTTCCTGCAAGCGTCGCAACCACGGCCTGATGGAACTCCCGGCATGATTAACTATAGACACTCAGCGCGCAAAACGGCCACACTCTTCCATGAAGCCTCGAACACATCTTTCGAAAGGAGAAAAAGTCAGCGACTCTGAAGCAACCTGATCGTCCTCCGGCTGAGCAGCAACGGAGCTGAAGGAGCTGCCTTGGCGAGGCTGGTTAAGTTATCTTAGTTAACTAATTACAAGGCGAGCAGGCGGGCAGTGCTCCATATAGACCTTCGGAAGGCTGCTTAACTATCTCAGCGCATTTACGAGTAAAAAAGATGGTAGGATTTATAGGATTATCATGGGAGACAGTGTGGAATATGCATAAAATCACGTTAAATGGAGGAAAAATCAGGCCAGTGACTGGCGATGATAGCTAACCAGCATCTTCGGCGCCATAACCAGCCCCAGACATAAGTACGGAGTAACTAACAGTTAACCTGCCATGGCGAAGTAGTTCAGTGACTGGTGAGCCCCGTCTAAGACTGATCGGCATCCGTGATCGGACTCATCAAGAGTTTGAGGAGCTATATAAAAAAGAAGGAGAAAAGTCTGGTCAGCGACAGGCAAACTACTTCTCCTGCCATACGCAAGGACAGGCTTACCCATTGCTCGAGTCGAGTCTCATTATCACGGAATTTCGCAAACTTCTCGTCCAAGCTGCCTGCATGATAGTAGTTAGTGCCATTGACTTCATGACTCGAGGTTTCTGAGATCTCCTTGCTCACCAGTTGTGCAGTACAGAACGTCCTGCAGTTGATCCTCACGCATTAGAGACTTTAAAAAGGCTTTTGCATCACGGTCAGGTCCGATTTGGCTGATCTGGAAGCGGACCACTGCGGGTAGTTAGCAGGAGATGAATAGTTAACCCTTTTAACTATTAATTAGTTCTTCCTCCTTACCTGTTCGTTCGTATCCAGCAGCCTCCAAGCGTCTTCCGCATTCAAGAATCGCTTGCTTTAGCGTTTCAGGATATTCACCCTGTGGACAGCCGTCCGTGATGATAAAGACAAGAACCGGTCGTCGCAGGCTGTTTGTTGCCAGTGGCTGATATACCAGTGGCTCAAGGATCCTGCTTCTCAGATACGTGCCCAGTTCTGTTGGCCCGTAGGGAGCCTGCTGTCCCATGAGTTGTCTGAGCTCACCGAGGGTCCGCTGGTAGATCATGATCTCTGTGTTGCGGTTGATGAACCGCACCTTGACGCCTTCATCGTCTGGGATGATGCGTGTGGCGATGCTCGCAATGCGCTCGACGATATCGATTTGGTGCTCAACTCGATTACCCTCGTTCATAGAGCCACTGTCATCTATGTACATCATCCATTAGTCAACCATCGATCAAACAGTTATCGGATAACTATCCGACTGAATTCGAGATTAATACCCACCGCAATACATGATAGGTTGGAAGAGGGCCAACCGGGTCAAGGCCTTTGTGTCGAGGGTATTGTCAGGGTTGGCCTCCAGCTTTGTGGCCTTATCAACCACCGTCTGCAGGAAAGGGTCATTGGACGGGAAGAACTTGTTCAAGTCGTTCTCCTCGATGAAATCCTTCGCATCTTTCTGGAACTCCTCCTTGGGCTCGGGTTGTTTCAGCTTCTATACCAACGAATTAGTATATCTTGAACCTCTGGATTGATCCCCCGTAGGCCCCTTTTCATAAACCATGACATATATCAGGTCCAGAAAAAAAGGTTCTGGGCTACTCACCTCTGGCCAGACCTTCTCGTCAAAAATCCCACTCATATGGAACCTCCTTCTAATCACATGTGTTACATACGGGCCGGCTGCAGTGGCAGCACCCGCAGCGCCAACCACAGCTACCACAACGAATGCATTCACCCACGCAACGACACCCACTACGATGCTGACAATCACACCAATCCAGTGGAGCCATCCCAGTGAGCGTTCCTTTCGCTTCCGCAGCGCCTTTATCGTATCAGGATCACCGCGGGCCTCCGCAATTTCCCTGGGTGTCTCTTTATGCTTATTTTCCTGGTCTGGGTTTGCGCCCCTGTCTACCAATGCGTTGAGCAAGTAAGGGGGTTTGTACGTCTTCACAGCTGCGAGGAGAGGGCTTGAGTTGTCGTCCACGGTAGAGACTATGTTCGGATCCGCGCCCGCGTGAAGGAGCAGTTGCGTCATGGTTCCCACTCTCTTCTTGGACCTTGCAGCTGCAACCCAGAGCGGGGGGCGTACTGGATCATAGTCTTTGCTAGGGTCTTTGCTAGGGTCTTTGTTCTGGACTTTGGTAGGGTCTTTGCCGTCGGGATTGGCGCCATTATTGAGTAGCAGTTTGACTACTTTGACATGGCTGAACCAAACTGCAATGCCGAGGGGAGTGAGCTTCGTTCGGGGATGAATTGTATTCAGGTCGCGAATTATTTCCTTGTTAGCCATGTGCTCCTTGGTGAGCTGGCCGGATTTTGCTAGATCGTAGATGGATGCCATCATCGTTGGTAGTTGGTAGATGGTAGATATCAGGGAATGAAGTGAGTTTGGTATAGGTTTGGGTAAATGCAACAAAAGAAGACGGGAGTAGAATGGGATACTTATATCCAACCGTGATGGCTATGGTAGGAATCCGTGGGTATTTAAGATTGATTGATGAAGGGTATTTGCTCAGTCTCGTATCATACTCTCCTTTTATGTCTCCCTCTAATAGAGTAGGCTGATGTATTGATATGTGACCCCCCCTTTTTTTTCTCAACAGTCACTATCAACCCCGTGAAGGCTGCCATTCCTCCATCTGAGATCCCTACCTATTGACCTTATTTGGCGGAATGCGCTGGCTNTTTTTTTTTTTTTTTTTTTTTTGACGGTGGTCGGATTGACTGCAGGTTCCAGGACGCCAAACTCATGGCTATCCGGTTCGCAGGCGCCCTACATTCGTTATTGTGATGTCATGATATCACCCGCATGCGTTGTTGACGTGGTTGAATTGACTGCAGGTTGCATCATGGCTATCCGGCTCGCAGGCGCCCTGCATTTGTTATTGTAATAGCACCCTGCATGGATAGGGGTAGAAGGGGATTGGGTCGTTGCAGAGAAGATCAAAGTCGCCTAAGGCCGATCCTGATGAAGTGCTGTCAATGAACGAGGCTGATTACTTAACTAGTTATCCAGTTCTCATATCTAGGTATTGCATACCAGACTGCTGCCCGCCTCGTCAGTTAGGCATCTGACAGGAAGCTCGTCCACCGTTACCTAGCGGACACGATATGCTGGAATAAATCATAGATGTCACTCTTCAGTGAGCGGTTCGACGTAATAAAACTCCCACTTCCCATAATCTTACTCCCCTCCTACATCATCCCGGATATCATTTCCTTTGTGAAGTATCCTGCCCCTTTTCCTGCTCCCCAAAGCCTCACCCGACACCTACCCAGCCTCTACCCAGCCATGTCAGCCTTGTCAAACCGTGGTGAAATTACAATCGGCAACCCTGAGGCAGCCCAAGATCTTTATGGGTTGGGCGTGCGTGTCGGGTTCTATCTACAAGGCCTGGGTATGATTCTCTACAACTATGGCCCTGACGAGGTTGAAGATACCAATACCTCCGCCACTGGAGATGGTCAAGAGCCCAAAAACGAATATGGCAAGGGTCTTACGATAGCTGCGACCTCAATCGCCCTCGCTATTCTTGCATCATGGTTCGTATTTGCAGCGCGTGCTAAATTCAGTGCCGCGGAAAGCGTCATCACATTGTTTATGGTGTTCAGCGTGTCACTGATGGCAAAATCGACACTGGACAATGCTCGTGCGATTGTTGGGGAGCTGACAGGCGTGGTGGCTATCCTCCTGACAGAACTGGGGCTATGCGCGGCGCTATTGTGGACGTTCGCGGTGTTGGTGAAAAGGCTTCCACTCTTGGGCACGCAAAACCTGGTGTTCTTTTTTGCACCGGTAAGGCTTGATGGATGGTTTAGGTACCTCGCGCTGGTGTACTTTGTAATTGATGCAGCCACATCATTGAGCTTTGCGTGGAAGGTTTTGCGGATCATGGTCATCGTATGCGAGTGCTGGATTAATGGGAGGACGGAGGAGAGGACTAAGAGGGACGTTTTGAAAATAGAGAATACCCTTGGGTGGAAAAAGAACGAGATGACCCCCTATATCCATGCCATGAGATGGATAACTTGGATCTTGATGGTATTGGCAGTAGAGCTCACGCTGCACTGGAATCAGTTATCGCCTACAACAGACCTCCTGGTCCCCGGCCAGCTGATCCCGTTTGTCGCGGGGGTTGTTATCCTAATAGACAGTGGGATCATTGCTGGTCGTGCACTGGTTCCACGCTGCCACAAGGCAATAAGGTCGTGGAAAACGTGGATACTGCGGACTTTGCAGAATTTGCGGGACTTGAGTTATAGGGGAATACGCTCATTCAAGAGGCATATGACGGACCTAGCCAATAAAATTAAGGCGGCCGGTCAGACACAAGTCTAAGTGATGGACAAAAATATAAGCGTAAACCTGTGTCTACCTAAGATTCAGTATTGTGCAATACCATAGTATAGATACCCCTAAGGAACTAAGGTTCAAGCGCGGTTCCTTATTCAAGCCCCGTTCACTCGAAACACATATTATTGAACTAACAGCCCTCATTAGTCGAAATCCAAAGGGACTGAACAGCTGCCTTAAAACATACCTTAGCAGGTTTATTGATATAATGCTTCATAAACCCCACCTCTGGTGTATCCATCTCTTCCATCTCGATATCTTCCTCTTTAAGTAAAAAATTCGCCATGCGAAACTCAACAAGCTGGCCTATATCAGCAGGGTTCTCTGGATCCTTGCGCTCTAGCACAATACGAAACATCTCGGAATTGTTTGTTGGTTTCTTCTTTGAATTTTTCTTTGGCTCGATCCGGACAATATAGGGGAAACAGCAGTCTTCTAACTTATCAGTCAGCGTCACGACTTGCCTCACGTAATCCCAGAGAACCCATCGCTGCTTCTCTCTCGATTGAGGCCATCCGCGCGGATGTCGGAACCGAAATACATAAGTGGGTTTGCCGGTCAGGTTTGATGTGGGTGCGTAGGCTGGGAAGATATCAAAAGTGGTTTCAAGGCCCTGCTCTCCCAGGCGTACCCAGCCATGTTGCTCGAATGGAGGAAAGCGAAGATATAGACCCTCAAGAGGTGCGTCTTTGGAAGGAAAGACTCTGAGAGCCTTCTCTTCGTGGCTTACCCCCAGCCATCGGAAGATTTGCTCCAGGACCGTCTCGCTAAGCCGGCACCCTTTGCTATTTCCACGATGAAGATCACTCCCGTTTGTGCTAAGATATTTTTATCAGCTTGACACCGTGTGGTATGTATTTATAATGCATATAAATAAAGGAAGACGCACTGAATACCAACAACCGTGTCATGACCCTTGAATGGCATAAATACCGGTGCCCCGCTCAACCCCTTTGCCGTGGCTATCTGGTATTCTAGGCGACTCCGATTCCAGCGCTTGCAGTCCCCAGAGCTGGTAGATGGTTCAGGTCGAGTGCAGTCCGAGGGAAATCCGCAAATCTGTAGACTTTTATCACGCAGGCTTTCCTCGGCAAGTTTCAAAGCAAATCCAAACCCACGGGATACAGACGTGCTGGTCGGTACACGGATTGCTCCAAAGTCAGTTTCGGTCCGTGGCCTTGACAAGTATGAAGGGGATACGAAGATGTCCGGATCTCCGGGTTTGATAATGGCGCATTGTAAGGGGTCATAAAACTGCAAATCCTGAGACGGCTTATTTTGCTTATCAACGAGATTATGCGCGGCAGTGAGGATAACGTGGGCTTTGGTACCCGGGATATTGACGTAAAATCCAGTTCCGTGGCTCTTCTCCCCCTTCGGTGCTGTATAGGCCAATGTAAGAACATGAGTCAATCCAGATTCTGTTGTCTTCTGCCATGAGAAAATGAATACTAGACGAACCCGAATTTTGCCTGAAATCAAGTCTGACGATCCAGCTATTGCGTATCTGGGTTGAAGCAAACGACAGTCCGCCAGTGGCACCCTTGTCGTTAGGCAAAGCAACCCAGCTAGGATCAAAGAGATCCGGATCCAAGCGTAGAGATGAGGGAGTGGTAGACATAACTAGCATACGCGGGAAACTGATAGTATCCTCCTCATCATTTCGTAGAAAAGAACAATTTCGACCTTCGTGCTCGACTTAGCAATTGTATGCTACGTGCGCAATTTTGTATTCGGAGAGACAGGGAATAATCGTGAAGTTGCGATTGGTAGCCCCATTTCATGCCCAACTGGATGCCTTGGAGCTTTTCATCGGCGGCTCCTGAGAAAGATAGACCCCGCTTCCCTTGACAAAGTACATATATAGACATACGCGGCGGGGGAAGATTGAGCAGATCGAAAAACATTGAAAACGTAGTGGGATAGAATCAAGGAAAGAGACAAATTTTCAGCCTTTTTTCCCGCTCTTCACTCTAAGACAAAGATCCAAGAAGTATGGACTTTAAACCCCAAGACTTCGTTCACTATCTCCTTGCCGCCGCTGGGGCATTCCCACATGATCAACCTGGGATTTCCTTGATATCGGAGGAAGACGGCGATTTGATCGAAAAGCTCTGGACGGGAACCGAAATCGCAAATCAAGTGTTTGTTGCGAGTGATGTGCGGAAAAATACGCCAGGTCTATATCTTTTGGGTGAAGAAGAGGTGAGCATATAGACTCCACCCTGCGTAGCTAGCCAGAGAGGCATAACGTCCTAACAATCAACATCAATCTTAGCGAAGCATTTTATTCGTCGACAAGTCAGACATTCTTCAGTGGTATCGATACGACCCAGACGAAGAGGAATGGAGTGAAGTTGAGTATGATAATAAAGGAAAGTTGACCGTTCACCAATCGAGCCGATTAAGTGGTTGCCTCAGCCCGGGGGGTGAAATCGTGATATTCGAAGGTCCAGAAAATGGACTTCAAGCGTACAGAGTCACGGACGGAGAGAAGTTTGAAACCCTACCGCCATTGCCCACGGATTTGGAGCCGGGGACGCCACATCAGGCCGTCCTGCTAGGAGATGACACCCTGCACCTGCTGTATGTCCACCGTGACAGGCGAATTCATCATCTCGTTACAGAGAGTCCTGGACTCAGGGAATGGAAAGATATAAAATCTAACCCCTTCTTCCGCTTGAATGCAGGAAGCTAACAAGTGGCATTTATAGACACGGGCAGTAGCTTCCCTTACCCAAGCTCCAATCATGATGAAAAGATTGTCAGCTTCATCGTTATCCCACAAGGGGATGGATCTCTGGAACTATGTGCTCTGATGTCGGGAGGCGCGCTGGTGCAAGTGAAGGCCAACGGGCAGATTACCGAACTGGGAACTGTCAAGCAGGGCCGGTTCACGGCTCACACGAGCGAAGAGTGCGGTATTGAGCTTATGCTAGGCATCAAGAAGGGTATTAAAGCAGTTGCGCATAAGATGAAAAAATAGTTAATGTAACTAGCGTCCCATTATCGATTAAAATTCCAGCTACTGAATCCCTGCAATGCATAGCTGCATATATCAGAGCTCTGTTCTTATCCAGCAAGTTAGCGCCTTGATGGGTCAGTTAACGTGCATCACTCCTTGTTGTCCACACGTATCTGCAGCCTGGAGTGTGGTACCCCCATGACAAGTCGCCTTCATGTTCACACCCAGATCCAGCAGCATTTCACCATTGCTTCCTGTCCAGTAGACACAGCTCGATGTAAAACTTGGCTCCTTCTTCAGTTTTAGAGGGAGCAACAAAACCTGCTGTCAAAAAGGATGATGATGTGATGTTGTTGATGTTGTTGTTGATGTTGTTATTGAAGCTAACTATCGAATGTGATGTGCGAGGCCAAGCGAGAGGTAACGTGACGAGATGACTAATACACCTATTCGAGGCCCCTTAAAAGCTACAGCGTCGACGGGAAATCTAGGAGGAAGAGAGGCATTGATATTGTTGCACTGCCACGGACGGCGATGACGATTGTGTACCATCTCCTAAGGCTTCCACAGTCAGTGCTGCTGCTGGTGCAGGAGGACTATGGAGGGAAAACGAGTTGTCAACATAACTACGGACAACTTCACAGGAGGGCCCACGGTTAAATGAACACAGCCTAGTACGACCGATTAGTTATTGATGGCCTGTTGACAGCAGCATTGCTCTACAGCGCTCGCTCCAGCGGTGATATCAGCCCTATCCGTCGTTCTTTGACGCAGGGGAGCCTCGATGATTGGCATGAAACTAGCCGTATTTGGTGCTATCCAGCGCTGCTCCACCTCGGATCCTTCGGCGGAAGAAAAAACTTTGCGACCTGGAAGCTGATGGGAGACGGGAATATCCTTGATCTGGGGAATATGCAGCGCTTGCTGGCGCCTGGCCGGTGGGTTCTAGCATGGCTTGGTTGAGCGTGGGCAGATCTTTAACCGCTCTTGGTCTCATGTAGCGCTGCTCATTATCTGTGCAGGCCATGGGCCGCAAAGGCAGTGCTCTTCAGCCTCGATTGCGTCCCAGTACGGAGTAACGAGTTCAGGCTTGAAGATATGGAAGAAATGATGATATATAACCAGCCGTGATGCTGCAGCTGTCATAGAAATTCAGCAACTTACACAATCATTGAATACCTAGACAACAATAAATCGTCATGGCTTCATCATCCAACATGGAATCGACAACTTCAACATACTATCCATACACACCCAGCAAACCCCTTGCGGCCGTCTTTGCGGTCCTAGTTGGAGTCTCACTTAGTATACACATATGGCAGAACTTGTATGTCTCCAGCCTTTACCCGTTAGTTACTGGATATCACTGCTAACATCTCACTAGCCGATACAAATACTGGCGGGTCATGTTCTTCATGTGCTGGGGAGGTCTTGTCTTTACATCCGGTTGGGTCACGAGAACTGTCTCCAGCTTCTACCCCGAGAACAGAAACTTCTACATCTCAGAAAGCATTCTCATCCTCTGCGGACCGCCAATCTACTCGGCAGCTGAATACAATATCCTCGGACGGCTCATGCACTATCTCCCCATGCACGCACCCCTCAACCCAGGTAGACTCATTTACTTCTTCATCTACCTGGGTGCTCTGGTTGAAGGTCTAACAGCCGCCGGAGCCGCCCGTTTATCCGCTGCCGGAGATGACCAGCGCCTCCAGCGCAGCGGTGGCATACTCGTTGCCGTTGGCTCTGTCCTCCAGGCAGCTGTGGAATGTATCTTTATCGGGATGATTGCCCATCTCCATAACCGCTGTGTTCGAGCCAACATGCTCACCAGCAAAGTCCGCACCGTCTTCATCATGCTTTACGGTACATCCGGTCTTGTCTTATTCCGATCTATCTTCCGTGCCATCGAGAAGTTCAGCACCCTTAACGTCATTTCTACCGGCCAATGCGATGGAGTCTGTGATGCTGTTCTAAGACACGAGTGGTATCTATATGCCTTTGAAGCAGCTCCCATGGTTCTCTACACCTATTGGCTCAACATAGTTCACCCTGGGAAATATCTACCCAACAAGACTACCGTCTACCTTGGATTCGATAAGGAAGAATACGAAGGCCCCGGCTGGACTGACAAACGTTCAAAGTGGGAGACCTTTGCTGACCCATTCGACCTCAAGGGGGCCATTAATGGACAAAAAGAGCATGAGAAGTTCTGGCTCCTGTCTCAAGATGGCGCTCATCCCAAGTATCACAATGAGCTACAGGCGTAATTTATCATTTGCTATCAGTGTGTTTCTTTTATCATAGATTTGGTGCTTTGGTGGTGAACTTAGTACGTGTATATATACCTTTTCTAGAATTTTTAGATTTTTCTATCAATGATGACGCTAATATATTTCTCCTTTTCAAGTATTTTACAACTGCGATTAATAAAATATGAAACACTTTTTTCCCTTTTCCCACTCCAGGCTATTGCCGAACCACCCCTGAACATTTCCTTTCAACAATAGATCTCCTACTTCATCACTCTCCCAGATCCTCAAATAAACTTATAATACCCCATAGATCTTCAATTGACACAGCTAGAGCACTAGTCCATTGGCCCATAGCCAGGGGATGAAGGATAATCCCGTCCTCCAATATCTTGCCCATACATCCCAAGCGTTGAGTCCCCAATTATATCACTCCTCGTACGACGAAGCATTGTCAACCCAACACACAACAAGAAGCAAAGTATAGTCACCGTCCAGTGTAAAGCCAGAGAGACAGGTCCGGCTTTAATCGTATGTGCGCACCCGAGACCAACCGCGAATACGCCACTCACTTCTGTGATTGCAAGTGCAGCTGCTAGAGTAAAAGCGCAAGCACTGTATGCACACCCAAGTGAGGCCTGACGGAAGAAGTTCTGGCGGCGTCTAGAATCTCTCTTCATGGGCTGTTTGCGTGTCCGTTTGGAGCTGTGGGACCGGAGTAAGTCGAACATGAGGCTGGAGCAGAATAATGTCACTGCCACCAAGAGTACGTTGATAAATACCACAGCTTGAAGTTTGATGGCTTCATTGACGGCTGATTCGGGGAGAATTCCCTGGACTTCTCTGGCCAGACGTTTCCTGATGGTGTCGGGAGACGAGAATGCAATCGATGTGCATCTGATCTCAGCATATGTTTTCACGCAGATGCCTGATATTCATTGTATATTATTAGCATACAGCCCTTAATGATATATAATGAGAGGAGGAGATACCAAAATATCCTACACGAACAGTCTCGCCATTGTTCGTCTGCACTTCAGCGAGGTATATACCAGGAATCCCGACTGTACTGCTAGCAAGGAGCAGAGCTAAATGCCGAGTCAGTATGAAATTAGAGAAACACCCGGGGGGGCAAGCTGACAATATAGAACCAAAGGAGGAATAGCTAGAAAGAAGATTCCAATTTTCGTGGTGATTCCTGGAAGTGAGGGTGCCATTGGAAACGAGGTTGATAACGTATAGATATAACAAACTAATGATGTTTTCAAGGAGGAAATTGGTCAATTAGTGCCAAACCCAATGAGAGGGATATTCTTTGATGTGATATATCTTCTCTATCCAAAAGAGTGTCTATGATGGACAGTTATATACTCTCAATTCCTCGACACCCTTCGGCAGCATCTAGATCCACTACAGCTAGATCACATAATTGGATTATATTTAGAAGTCCGAGCGGTTTCAGTTGCCGCCAGATTTAACTGACAAGAGCATAACTTGGCCCCTCGGAGGATAATGGTCTTCTCGAAAACCCCTAGGGAAATATACCCTGCGCTGCTGCATGCATGAGCACATCCTCTCGATATCTTGCCGTGTCCACTGGGCGCTTATTTAGTTTTGCGGCTCCGCGTTACTTTTGGGCCAACAACATCCAAACATCAACCTCAACTTCGTGTTGGAAATGACGAAATATAACATATTCTATAAAAATAAGTGGTTGTGCTGGATTCACTCCTGTTTGGCATATCAATGGGGCGGGACAACCCTGTCATATTACACTTAGGGGTCCCTGAGGGGCTTAATTTTGTAGTATGTATCTTGCCCAAACAGAGCCACCTTTCAAGAGGCTAACTCTCTGGCAGGCTGTCTACCGCCTATCTTTGCTTAACACTACATTATCCTTGTGAATAGCTATATCCCGCAGTCATTCAGTATCCGCTCGCCTTGATGCTTATCCTACCGGCTCGGTAAATGCGTGTGTACAAGTGCTGGAGGTAAAGGATTCTGTGCCCTGCATATCTACATCCAGGATAGTGACGACTGACATCATCTCTCGCTATACCAGCGAGCATCTCTCTTCCAATGGTTTGGGCAGGTGGCGCTAAATCAGGAGATTTATGCAGTTCTGGCATGCATTACCACACCCCCATGTCTGAACAACCATGCACTCCCATCTCAAGGCAGATATCGATCTGGCGCTTAGCCATGCACAGCTGCAATGACCTTCTAGATCTATCACTGTCGTCAATGCCTGCATCGTATACGGAGTAACGATCCATGACAGCCACTCATTCTCCCCACATTGGACTGGTACGGAGTCGGTGTGAGACACCTTTGGCCAGTATGTTAGATGTTGGACTCTCTTTGCGATCGTTGCATAAAACTCACTGAGCCATCACTAACTTAACTAGTGTCAAGGGAAAAGACCTGGTTATTTCTCTCGCGTGTTTACTCCCTAATTACTCTTCCAAGACACCTTGTGTGCGGTCCCTTTTGATATTAGGCGTCTGCCACTGGGCATAGAAGCCATCTGCCTCCCTCCCACGTTTGCAGTAAAGCCTGCAAGAACGAGGCTCTCTGGCTCCGAATGTCGTTGAATACAACTTTCACTTTCCGTCGCGATTCCCCATGTCAACGGCGCTAAACGAATTCTCCGGCCAATCGGAGTCTAGCTTGGCTGAGACGCGGAATCGCGAGTTAACTGCCTTTATTAAATTTTGCGGCCACGGAGCGACGTCAACCCTCCACTCGCGCCAGGCCACTCGCTGCATG